CCAACCATTCAAAGTCCGTGTTGGCAGCGGCGCTTACCTCCATTGTCATCAAATCTGCAATGAGGTCACCTTGCTTCTGCAATCTCACACCTTCAACCTGGACCTGTTCGTACTGGACATTGAAGGCACAGATGTTGTTTTAGGCATTCAATGGTTAGCTACATTGGGGCCGATCTTGACAAACTATGCTACTCTAACGATGGAATTCTGCCTACAAGGACGGCAAATAAAACTCTGTGGCGATGACTCTGCCTTGGCTCATCCACTTTCTCCAGCAGGCTTCAACAAGATGGTCACATCAGGGGGTGTAAGCTCCTGTTACATGTGTTTGCAGGCCACACCAACTACTACGAACACATTGTCTTTAGCCAACAATACAGAACAACAGCCACCATTTTTGGTAAAACTGTTGGACGAATTTCAAGATGTGTTTGCTGAACCCATCGGCCTACCTCCACCTCGCTCTGTAGACCATTGCATTCCCTTACATCCAAGCACAGAAGCGGTAAATGTTCGCCCATACCGCTATCCTCACTTTCAAAAAAATGAAATTGTAAGGCAGGTCAGCGAGTTGATCAAAACAGGAGTTATTCGTCCAAGTCGCTCACCTTTCAGTTCACCGGTGATATTGGTAAAAAAGAAGGATGGCACATGGCGTTTTTGCGTAGATTACCGTGCCTTGAATGCAGCCACCATCAAAGACAAATTTCCAATTCCCACAGTGGATGAATTAATCGATGAGCTCCATGATGCAAAAGTTTTCTCTAAGCTAGACCTTCGTTCAGGTTATCATCAAGTGAGAATGTGTGAAACCGATGTGCACAAAACTGCCTTCCGCACACACCATGGCCACTTTGAATTCTTAGTCATGCCATTCGGACTCACAAATGCACCCTCGACCTTTCAAGCTCTAATGAACGAGGTATTCCAACAATATCTACGGAAATTTGTGGTCATATTTTTCGATGATATCTTGGTATATAGCAGCAGCCATGGGGAACACATTGACCATCTTCGAAAAATATTTTCCACACTAAAAGAGCACAATCTGGCAGTGAAAAGATCCAAATGTACATTTGGCAGCCCTTCCATCGAATTTCTGGGCCACATAATCTCAACACAAGGGGTGGCAGTTGATCCCTCTAAAATCGAAGCCATCAGTGCCTGGCCGACTCCTACCAATCAGCGGCAAGTTCGAGGTTTTCTTGGTCTCACGGGCTACTATCGACGTTTCATTCGTCATTATGCATCTATAGCAGCCCCCCTGACAGATCTCCTCACAAAAGATGGTTTCAATTGGTCCGAAAAGGCAAACCAAGCTTTCAACACGCTCAAATCAGCAATGACATCTGCACCAGTGCTTGCATTACCAAATTTCTCTTCACAGTTTGTGTTGGAAACTGATGCTTCTGGTGTAGGCATAGGTGCAGTACTCATGCAGCAATCGCACCCGATCGCATTCTATAGTCGAAAACTCTCAAAAACAATGCAAGGGAAGTCCACATATGTTAGAGAGTTATTTGCAGTTCAATCAGCTGTGGCAAAATGGCGCCAATATTTACTGGGAAATCACTTTCTTATTAGAACCGACCATCGCAGTTTGCAAAATATGCTAAAACAGACCATTCAAACTCCGGAGCAACAACAATTCCTATCCAAACTTGTGGGCTACAGTTACTCCATTGAATACAAATCGGGTTCTTCGAATGCCGCAGCAGATGCTCTCTCTCGTGTACCCGAGTTCACCAACAACACTCAGACCATGGCAGGTCAAGCCCTTTCCACCTCCACTGATCACAACACAACTGACACAACATCTGTTTCCAAACCTGGCAACCTGATCACCAAAACTGACCAAGTCTTCCTAGCCATTTCTCGACCTGTTAGTTCTGACTTGAAAACCTTGGAGCAAGAAGTGGCTAATGATCTCTACTGCCAGCGAATTATAGCTGAAATATCAGCTAATAAATCCAAAACAGCAGGCTGGTCCTTCTCACATGGTTTACTGCGTTATAGAGGTCGCATATACTTACCAGAAAACTCAACCCTAATTCCCATCCTTTTGGCTGAATATCACTCAACTCTTCTTGGTGGTCACTCTGGTGTGCAACGCACTGTCCAACGGCTAACACCACACTTTTATTGGAAGAAAATGCAGCAACATGTCAAAGACTATGTGCACTCTTGTGACATATGTCAAAAATGCAAACCTACAAATCAGCACCCTTATGGATTGCTGCAACCAATTGCTCCTCCAACTTCCCTGTGGGCTGACCTATCGATGGACTTCATCACTCATTTGCCACCATCTGAAGGGCATACAGCTATTTTGGTAGTGGTTGATCGCTTCTCTAAAGGGGTGCATCTAGCTGCCTTACCACGACGATACAACGGCCCTCGAGTTGCAGCCATTTTTTGGGAGTCGGTGGGCAAAATTCATGGAATGCCTAAATCCATTATTTCTGACCGTGATCCAATCTTTCAAAGTCATTTTTGGAGGGAACTTTTCAAACTTCAGGGAACAAAGCTCAACTTTTCATCTGCATACCATCCAGAATCAGACGGACAGACCGAACGTGTCAACCGATGCATTGAGCAATACTTGCGGGCCTTTGTTCACGACCAACCGAAAAAGTGGGCCAATTTACTCAGTTGGGCAGAGTACCATCACAACACAACATTTCAAGCTTCAGCAGGCATGACGCCATTCGAAGTCACATTTGGCCATAAACCGCCATCAATGCTCAATTATTGTAGCGGTACCTCTGCCTTCGAAGCAGTTGACACAGACCTCCGTTCCCGTGATGTGATATTATCCCAACTAAGGGACAACTTGCTGAAATCACAAACAGCCATGAAATTCTACGCTGACAAGAACCGCACTGCAATGACTTTTGAACCTGGCCAATTGGTGTTGCTAAAACTTCAGCCTTACCGTCAAGTGACGGCACGCCAAAGCTCAGCTCACAAGCTCGGATTGCGCTATTACGGGCCATTTAAAGTAGAGAAACGCATTGGATCAGTTGCATATCTCCTGACACTACCATCAACTACTCGCATTCATCCCGTCTTTCACTGTTCTCTCTTAAAACCATACCATGGCCAAGCAACACCACATGTTCATGATTTGCCTAGCCTAACTAAGGATAATCATCCAATCCACCAACCAGTTGCCATTCTAGCTAGGCGTACCATACTTCGAAATGGAGAATCTGTCCCTCAAGCTCTCGTCCAGTGGTCAGGCCTATTGTTAGAAGACTCAAGTTGGGAGGACCTGGTTAATTTGGATGAACTCCGACTTGAGGACAAGTCATCTTCCCATGGAGGTGGGAATGTTACACAATTAAACCAGCCCCTAAAGGTTTACACAAGACGTAACAGAGATACAATTGCATTCAATCATGAACTGATGATGCTAAAATTGGAAAGTGCAATTAAGGTCTGATTTGAAATCAGCCAGCAAGAGGAATGCTAAAATTGGAAAGTGCAATTAAGGTCTGATTTGAAATCAGCCAGCAAGAGGAAATCTGGACAGCTAAGCCTTAGGCAGGATTTAGGGAGGATTTAGGAATTTGCTTTACATTTCTATTTTTATTAGTGCTTTTGTTTAGGCAATAATCAAGGGCTGATAGCCTATAATTGTATCAGCTGTGAGAGGAAATAATCAGACAATATTCAACAATCTTCTCTCTTTCTCCTCTCTCATCCCTCTTTCTTCTCCCTCATTCTACAACGCTTCTGTCTTTACCCTCTATTATATCTCTAATCTATCTCACTGCAGCCACCACATTAAATTTCTTCTAACAGCATTTCATTATTTACTGTTTAGCATCATCTGTTCTATACCATAGTTGTCAACTTTTGTATACAAACAAGTTGACCCCCGGACCCATACCAGCTTATCTCCCATAACTTCGCATACAACTACATTGACCCCCACACTCCACCCCTATCCTGCTCCATTTTTAAGGTGCCTACCTTCTCCAATAGTATATTTTCCCTTGAAACGAATTCTTCCTTTGCTCAGTATTTGTTCCAGACAGAACCTTATGTCCTGAACTTTCTCACAAAAAAAAAAAAAAAAAAAAAAATGGTACACAAATATGCAACCCCCCAACCACCAAAAAGAATCAAAATGCAAATGTAAATTAATATAATACATATAAGAATTATCGGCAGTGAACCATGCATATAATACCCTGGTTTTAGGTTTGGGTTATTTAAATTAACTCTGGCAAACTTGATGTGTAGATAACTTGGTGATTTGTTTATATAATTCATATTCCTACTCACCAATGAAAGATACAGCAGGCATCTTCCCCAACATTCATGCTTCCCGTTACCGCACATGGTTAACCCGTTAAGGCCACCACCTGCTTCAGCACATGCGACCAAATTTATAATCTTTATAGTTCATGTAGTATCATTATTGGTATATTAGACCATTCTCAAACTGACACTTTGAAGTGAGACTGTTTGCTAGTTCACACAAGCACACACAAATAACCATGGATATGTAAGAATATGTTCCATTTTTCCTATCTAGCCATCCAACTGACAAACTAATTTAAGTTAAAATAGAGCCATATATCTTTTCCCAAAAAACAACAAAGCAAGGATGCGTGTCAACCAAACAAAACTGCAGCTAGAAGGGATAGGAATCAGAATCACCAAAGGATCGAAATGTATCCAACTATTGAATAAATTATATATATAGCAAACTAACTTGTCATCTTATACCCATTTTTTCACTAATATGTTCGTGTATATGTAACTATGTATGTATACATATGGGGATTTACATGTCAATAATGAAAGTGCATTTGCACAAATGCAAGTACGTAAGAAGCAAAAGTTGCAAAATGGAAGACAATATGAAAGCATATTCTGGAAACAGCATGCAAAATTATAACTAGTAATGGAGAGCATAATCGAGATTTGCACGTTTTTTGGCTGTGTATGTCTGGCATTGAGAGTAGCAAGAGGATAAAACAACTTACCCCGTCCTCCAGAAGCCAAAGGATCCATAAGACTCTCCCCTGCTGACTTTGATATCATCAAAACAGGAATTTTGATGTCAAGAGAAGTATCATTTTCAGTGCACACCATTTGAGGAAGTTCTGCAGCTCATAATTTGAAAGATGTAAAACGTACAATGTCAAAATAAGGGGAGAATATTTCAGATAGACCAGAAAATGCATGGATGCCGAGTTATACCTTCATTTTCATTTATCACCAGTAATCCTGCTGCACCACTTGATTCTGCAACTTTAGCCTTATCAGTGTAGGAACATTCTCCACGCATAGCCAAGACTACAGAATCCACAAACTGAAAGAAATACAAGATCGTTGAAAAAAACTAAAATGGTAGTTGCCAATTAATTAGTACAGGAACAAATTTTAAACAAAGCCATAGGTCACTAGGGTTTTGGAGGAAACTACTTAGGACATTTTTGTAAAATCTTCAACAAGTTTATAAATAATTGTGCAGGGTAGTAATAAAGCAGGGGTTCCATATAAATAAGTCTATTTAGAATAATTTCATTTATACTCACTCCATACTTCGTACTTAGCATGGAACTCATTGAAATTTCATTTGAACAAAAAAGCTTATGACATAGAGAAAATTCGAATGAACACTCAGACAAGAAACTAATTTCTTATGCTTCTAACATGAACATTCACTAAACTAATTTGATCAGAAGCAAGTAGCCAGCAACAAGCATCAAAATATGAGATACATAATGGAATAATTCAATGTGAAAAAGGGTACACTGACCTTCGAAGAGGAACTTGCACAGCCTTTTAAAGGATTCGAAAGAAAAGCAGACCTCTTAAGGGCATCAGATGAATCGGCTGGTGGTTGGGTACCAAATTTGGCTTCTACTCCAATTATATCTTCGTGTTTCTTATCATTCACCCAGTTTTTTATCAATACCTGGAAATAAAAAATAATGAAGCTTAGCAGCAATATTCTACTGATGCAAAAACATATATGCAAGGATGGACAAAGTTAAGGTTTCACTACTTATGTAATTGAACTGGAAGGCGACGCGAAAAATGATACACTACCCAAACATGCGGTAGGGAAATATGCAACTAAGAACCATCAGAATGCATGACTAATTTTAAAAAAATACCTTCAAAAAGAAAATCTCAGCATGAAATGTGCTCTACGTCAAGCACTTATCGAAGACACAATCCAAAAGATTAATTAAAAAAAACAAATAAAGACACTAAGTTGCTGGTTCACAGCAATTGTCAGCATAGAGTACAATTACCGATGACGCAACATAAAAGATTAATACAACAAAATAAAAAAGGAAAAAACTCTAGAGACGCTAAACAGTCACATTTAGGCTGAAATGATTTAATTCCATGGAAATAGTTCTCCTTCGCCCCAAAGCTATGCTTCCTTCACATGTTTACATGTGCTAAGCCAAATGCCATATTCATATGTGAGCATGTATAAAGAGATACTTAAGGGTATTTGGCTTTTAGCACCTTTAAATATTCTGCCTATGCATATACCCCCTTAAATCTTTTAATTTATATGCAGAGTCTTATAACTGCACAAGTTACTGCAAGTTATCTACTGATCTAAGCTATGTTAAATGATGCATATCTGTTTCTACTCCTTGGGTACAGGTACCTAGATCTTATTGATATCCTCAGCATGGGGACAGATTGCTATCTTGTTGCTTCTCAACTTCTACTGACTCTAATATTCCTTGCTGTACACTGTAAGGCTCAATGAGTTCATCGGATTAACAGGTGTCGAGGCGGATTTGGTTCTGAATGGATATGTAGAACTCAATAATGAGAATAAAATGAACTCACAAATATAACCCTGGCTAGTTGATCATTCATGGTACTTTCAATAACTTATCATATGGTCGTAGATTAAATACAAATATCTATCTACATATACTGACTCCTCCCAGAACCTTTCAAGTAATTTGACAAGCTCAAAGCTGCTGTTTTTTTTTAAATATTGGGTTTCCCACTATAGCTGCACTCAATATTTTCTATTAAACTGAATTTATAAACAAAACATGCGAATTTCAATCTTGCCTCCGTATGAGGGTTCAATTATGGTTGAGGGTTTATTTCTAACTTCATGGGGTATTTATTTTCTTCCAAAAAAAAAAACAACAAAAAAAGGGTAAAATATTCCCTCAAAAATGACCTGAGAGGTTCCAAATGCATCAACCCAAATAACAATATTGGATTTCAATTGAATTGAGCGCCTCAATTGAAACTGATCAAATCCGCTATCAAATAAATTTCCATGATTTTCAGTTGCACGTTATGATTCTCACATGTGAGAAGAATGAATCTAAATTTTGGGTATAAATTCTTTTCCTTTTAAATTAAAACAAAACAGTGCACATAAAAAAAAAACAAATTCAAAGAGCCTGATTCTTCACGCAAACATATATTAAATAAATAAATAAATAAATAAAAGCCTTGCCTTCCTATAAACTGGGTTATTGTCGCAATGGCTGTTATCGTCACCAGCAACGAGAATGGGATTGAGGGAAAATAACAACAAGAAAACGAGAGTATAGAAATAGCGAGGAGAGGAACCCACTATCCCCATTATTATTATTATTATTTTCTTTTTTTCCCCTCTCCTTTTCTTGATTATGATTCTTCTTCCTCACGTTGAATTCTCTTTTTCTTCTTCTTCATGGATTCATGGAAGCGGATGTTGCGGGGATTTTGACGTGTGATTTCCTTTCTTCTCATCGTCATCATTCTGAAAATAGAGAAACGAGGGAGATCGAAAGCCGGGACTTGGATTTATTTTTGGTGTGATTTTATTCGAAATTAGTCCCTTAAACTAGTCCTTAACATCATTGAAACTACCATGGGCTCCTCCGACTTTTAAGATGTTTTGAATTAGCACCTCAAATTATTAAAACTTCTATTAGGTCCTCCGAATTATAAGTTATTTTGAAACGAGTCCCTCAAATCAATAGTAACATTATCAACTGAAGTGATTAATTTAAAGCAAATTATGAGAACCGAGGAATCTAGCTAAACTTTTGATGATTTGAGGGACTAATCTCCTTGTAATTGCTATGCTTACTTTTGATTAGAGAGCGAGTTCCAAAATAACTTAAGAATTACAGTACTTAGTAGTAAGTTTAATGATTTGATGGACTAATTCAAGATAACCTAAGGATTGAGAGACCTAATTTTGTCCAGATGCTTTTCCAGCTTGCGTGCACGTTTGCGGTCGATCGCAGAGCCACTCGCGGTCGACCGCTGAAAGTCCAAACCTGTTTTCTGTCATTTTTCCTGTATTCTCTTCAGTATAGTATTTCATGGTCATAGGCATAGCAACAAGGAGAACCAAATTTCTGCAGTCCACTATATCACATTAACTAGTTACAAATAAATACAAGTTTTTTCTTCCAAATTATATCACAAAATCTCACCTGTAGAAATAACAAATCCTTGTTCTTTTTCAAAACTGAACACATGAATATGCTTTTCGCCAATACATAAAAACAAAAACTTGAAAACCATGCAAATCTTAAGATCAATGACAAAGCCCTCAACTGCGAACAGTTGTAAAAAGAAATCGGAATCATAAAAAAAAAAGAAAGAAAAAAACCATCAACAGCAAGAAAATTTGCCCGCTGCTTTCTTCTGGTCGTCAGTGCCATTGCTCACGAGGCTAACCCTATTTTGGGACAATTCAGGCTTTGAAGAATCAGAGTTCAAGACTCTCCTGCTTAAATTTGCGTAAATCTCCTTGATGACAATTTCAAAGGCTGTCTTCACGTTTGTTGAGTCAAGGGCTGAGGTCTCAATGAAGAACAACCCCTCGGCTTCTGCAAGGTTTTTGCCTTCTTCAACTGATACCGCTCTTATACTCTCCAAATCACATTTGTTGCCAACCAATATCCTTGCGATGGTTGTGTCGGAATGTGCTGCGTAATAGCATCTTTATTACGTGACATATTTAAGGAGTGAATAAGGGATCATGAAGTTATGTAAATGGAGAAAGAAACTGTTAATGGATAAATTAAACTTTTATCAGATAAGTACATTGATGAAAATCCAACACCAAAAGTAATATTGACTTAATATATAATGAATTTTATACTAATGACTACGGGTCCCCTTAACAAAAAGTTCATACATATTTGAGCTCTGACCATGGTGATGAACTGTAGATAAGGACAGTCTCACAGATTAATTTTTGCTTATATAGCATTAATAAGGCTCAAGGCCTTCTGATGAAAGGGAAAATTGTTAACGAGAGTGCAGGACATTTTCGTTTGAAACAGGAAACAACGCAAACGCATGGGACTGAAGAGATGTGATGGTACTCGATGCTGAAGGCGTAGTGTTTCGGATACAACTTGTAAGCATTGAAACATAAGTTTAAGATAATTTCTTAATAGTTCAGTAGTCAATTTCAGGTAGAGTATCATTATGCAAGTCCTCCATCAAAATGCACTTAGGAGAGTAGCCAACAACTGAAGGCTGGGTTAGTTCCACAATGAAATTGATAAAATGTTTATGCTTGGATGTTGACTTGGTAACCTGCTGCTACATGCTGTTGTCAAATTTCTACCCAAGGTTACTGAAGATGGGAGGAGGCCATGGCAAACACAACCTACTAGGCTTGCAGGTGCATGGCCCCACGGGTGGAAACGAGCTGAATTCGAATCGAATACTCCAATATTCTTCGTGTTCATATTCGGCTCGTGTTCGACTATTCGAATTCGAAAACGAATAGGAAATCAGCGCTCGAATTCAATTCAGATAGTATTCAAATATTCGACAAGTATTCGCAAATATTTCTTAGTAGTGTTTGGGTAATATTTGCAAATTATTCGAACCACATCTGTTAGATATTCCACAAATGTTTGTTACCCTAGTCTTGAAATAGAGCCAAATATCATATATCTAATGAATATGCAAAATAAAAAGTATTTATCCACATTTACAAGCAGCAAAATCTAAAAGTAATCGGTATCATCTATAAACAAATCATAGTATCTCAACTAATCACTTAATTAAAAACTACTAGAAGATCTCTAACGAGTTTCCTGTGACGTCAGCAAGCGATTTCGAAATTCTCTGCTACGGTCGGCGTCTCTAATAACGACAGCCGCCACTCGAAACCATTACCAGATTCGGAAGGGGGCAAAAAAAAAAAAAAAAAAAAAAATTGTCTTGTACGTAACTAGCTAAAAATTAGTTACCCCCCAAGATCGATCCAGCAACTTACTCCCGAGTTCTTGAAGCCACCGGTCGACGCTCTCGAAAGTGGTCCTCCCCCGCCGACGATGACCACCTTGAAGAGGTACGTCTCCACGTCGTCGCCTTCCTCCATTGTTTTGAGATTTGATTTGATTTTGGATTTTATTTTTTTTTGGGTGGAGTGGGGGGCGTTCTTGGATCTGCTGTTAATTTGGGTTGCGGTTGGTGGCGCGTGAGCATTATTAATGATGATGATGTGGGAGGGTGGAGGCAGGAGTCAAAGGAATGGGTTGGCGCTGTGGCGTGACAGCTCCTCCCACTTCTTTCTCCTCGCGGCGCTTTTTTTTTCTTTTTAAATTAATTAATTAAAAAAAATACAGTGGAGTGAGTAAATTTAGGAGCGGATTTGGGGTCCAAGGCTACAAGAGTCAAATAAACTCGAAGGTCTCCGCAGAAGATCGAATGGGAAGCTATTTTCTTACTAACACCTCGAACATTATACAAAATTCGTTCGTTACCCCCTGGGTTCTGAAAGAAAAAGAGAGACGAGAAAGAGTGAGAATGTGCCATGTTAAGAGCATCTCCAACAGCTTCTCCAAAATTTTCTCCAAAATGGAGAAACAAAAGTCATATTCTCCAAATTATTTTTGCTCCAACTCCAACAGCTTCCCTATTTTAAAAATCGCATTTATTACAATAATAAATCTCTCTCTAAAAATTTGGAGAATGCTGCAGATTTGGGGAAGACTCCCTATTTTTTCTCCTCCTTCCCTATTTTGGGGAATGGGATGGGGAATCTGTTGGACCAAAAAAACCTCTATATTCCCCAAAATTAAGTATTTCAAGAAGATGGGGAAGCTGTTGGAGATGCTCTAAGAGCTCCAACAGCTTCTCTATTTTCCACTTTTGAAGAATTTAGTTAAATTTTTGGTCCAACAGATTCCCTATCTCATTCCCCAAAATAGGGATGAAGGAGAAAAAAATGGGGAAGATTCTCCAAATCAGCAACATTCTCCAAATTTTTAAAGGAAAAAAGCGATTCTTCAAAATGGGGAAGCTGTTGGAGTTGGTGTAAAAATAATTTGAAGAATATGACTTTTGCTTTCCCATTTTGAAGAAAATTTTGGAGAAGCTATTGGAGATGCCCTAATTAAAGGATTTTTGTAAAGGTAACAAAAAGAAAAGAGAGAGAGAGATATTAATATAGTAATTATCAATTATCACGATAAGACCATCTCCAGCAGGTAGGCAAATTTTTACCCTCTCTCTCTCCTGCCACATCACTTTATTCTCCCACCACATAATTCAATAATACTCATTTCCCTATCAACTCTGCAGCAGCTAGTTTTTCATAAACATTTTTACTTTATTTGGGACCCACCAATACCACATCACACCAACATTTTTACTTTATTTGGGACCCACCAATACCACATCACACCAACATATACCTGCGTGCCCCTCTCCCATTGGACCACCTCTTTTTAAATTTTTTTTTTGTTTTTTATGTAGCTTGTGGGACCCATTCATTTGCTTTTCATGAAATTTCACCGAAGGGAAAATTTTCCCCATCTGCACAAGTTTAGAATTTTCCCTACCCTCTTCCCTAGCTGCTGCATGTAAAAATTATCACTTTCCCTTCCTGCTGCACATAGTCTAAGAGTAATATATCCGTATGTAATCATCATCATTGTAAAATCTTGATTGTTTCCTCCTAAATAAATATGATTTCACGCGGGGCCCCACAATTACTCTTTTGCCCAAAGCCCCACACACCATCCGCACCACGCACAGCACACGACGTTCGTATCTGAGCTAAGCAACGGGCATGGGCTAGCATAGGCACGGCCTACGGATAATTTAGGCCCTAAATCCACACATTATGGGCAAACCTTAAGGCTCGCTGATTGGGGGTCTCTCATTTAGGCTTTTGAAAGTCAGTGTGAAAAATTAAAAAAATAAAAATAAAATCAAAATAGCTAGACTTTGGTTTTCTTACAGAGAATTGTTATTATGGCTTTATATCACACTATGTAATCTAAAAATTTATAGGTTAAATAGCATAAAATACCATAAAGTTTCCACTATGTAATAGATTATTACGTCAAGTTGCATTTATAGCATAAAAATACCAGAAGTTGTCGAAAAGAAGCACATTACTACCATCTATCACATATTGATGGAATATTCTACAAAATATGTCCGTGCCATTGTCATTTGACAATTTTGAATAGCATTTAACCCTAATGAATGCAATATTTACTCTTTTACCTTCCCCTCTCCATATTTAATTTATTTAATTTTTTACATTCTTTTTTAAACCCTAAATCACCAAATCTCTCTTTTTCACCCCAATTCGAGAGGTAAATTCCCAAATCTTCATCTTCTCCATTTCGTTGCAGGCGCCCCCAGTCATTGTAGGCAAGTATAAATTCAACGTCTAGAGTTTCAAGTTAATGTTCGAGTGCAACGTATGATGAAGCTGAGGAGAAAGAAGATAAGAGTGTGCTATTGTGGAGCAATTTCATCACTAGAAACTGCATGGACTGAGGAAAACTTTGGTAGACATTTCTTTGGTTACCCAAATTATCGAACTCCATGAAAATACCGGTTTTTTAGTAGAAAGATAAACTCTTTCCTCTCAAGCTCAAATTGTGATTAAAAAGCTTGCATGTGAGAAATAGATGATAAAGGATGAGAAGAGCAGGTGGAGAAAAGCGGGGGGGGGGTAAATAAAGGCTCATAGAAGATAAATTGAGGGTTAAAAGCAGGAACTTAAGATAAGACAGTAGAAGATCATGGAGAATGAATAATGCATAAGGGCTAGAGAAAAAGAGTTTAGAATATTGGAGGATTACTTGAGGGAGAAAGATGAACAATTAAAGCGCAAAGAAATTATAGCATCAAGAATTTCTATTGGATTTTGTGTCATTGTTGTCATTTGCTCCTCTTTTGTGATCAAATTAAGTTGATTTGGATTGTATTAGATGCCAGTCAGATTTTGTGAAAGTTGAATATTTGGTGTTGTCATTTGGTAGTAATGAAATCTGAATTTTGTTATGTAACATAGCAAATTTGGCTTGTATATTGCAAGTGTATATATGTGAACAAACATGAACAAGGTGTATGAGGATATGTCGGAGTATGCAATGTATCCTGCACATAAGCATGTGTGAACGGGTGGAGCCCACCCACGTGGGTACGTGGGTCTGCCCACGTCCACGAGATAGCACCGCCCCCCTCTGCTTTCTTGCGCGCGCACGTCACCACGCCTCGAGCCTAGCGCGCCTCGAGCCCAGCACTCGCCTCATGCTCGAGCTGCTCCCGCGCGCGCGCTTCTTTTCCCGCGTTTCTTCTCCTGCCTTAATTTTCAGCCTTGCCCCCTTTGGTTTCCTATAAATAGAGAAGGGGGTGGAGGAGTTATATTGTGGGGTAAAAATCTCAAGAGGAGTTTTTTGAGAGAAAAGAAAGAGAGGAAGAGAGAACTTGTAAAGTTTGGTATTTTTCCTCATAGTGAAAAAACCCCCTCCCGTGGACGTAGGCTAGTTAGCCGAACCACATAAATCTCGTGTTTGTATTTGTATTATCTGTGAGTTTCCATAGCTTGTAGGTTCCCTCGATATTTTAGTCCTAGAACTGATAAGAGGAAGAGTGTATATTTCACTTTGATGAAATATATCACTTTCGATTCTTGTTTCCTTTAAGAAATAAGAATTTCACTATCTATTCTAGTTTCCTTTTAGAAACAAGAATATAGAGGTTGACTTGTGCTTTTGTGACAACAATAGCCAGGGCTCTCTCTCAGGTGATATCGCTTCCGCGGCGGTGGGCGTCACTCTGCGTCCCAACAATTGGTATCAGAGCCCTTATTCAGATTAGCGGTGGTTAAGCTACTAATCTGAGGTGGTGGTTGACTATTGTGTGGTGAACACAAAGAAATTGTTAAAAATTCCCGAGAGAAGCGGATTGACATAATACAAGCGGAGAATGACTTCTACAAGTAAAACAAATAAAATTGGAAAGTACGAGATTGAAAAATTCAATGGGAAAAATAATATTTCCTATTGGAGGATGCAGATAAAAAATTCGCTGATTTCGCAAAAGTTGCACAAGGCTTTGGCTGGAAGAGAAAAGCACAAAAATATGTCTGATGAGGATTGGGAGGAGCTGGATCTGGAAGCACGAGCGTCGATTATCCTCTGCCTTGAAAGTGATGTAGCTTTCTTGGTGGATGGGGAGGAAACAGCTGCGGGCGTGTGGTTAAAGTTAGAAAGCACCTTCATGACGAAGAGTCTAACGAATCGGATCTATTTAAAATCCAAATTGTATACTTGCAAGATGGAGGAGGGCTCGTCAATCCGGGAGTACATCAACAAGTTCGATAGGATCATATCGGATTTGAAAGACATTGAGGTGACTGTGGAAGATGAGGATCAGACGCTTCTACTGCTTCTATCTCTGCCGAAGTCTTATGAGAACCTGGTGCAAACACTGATGCTTGTGGGTGATACTTTATCGATGGATGAAACTAGAACGGCGCTTCTAGCGGATGATCTTCGAAAAATTATAACTAGTGATATGGTCACTGATGGTAACAAAGAACAAGCACAGTGACTGTTTGCCAGAGGAAGAGGCAATGAGAGAGGAAAAGGCAAGGAAGGAAAGTCTAGATTTAAATCGAGACCTCTTGCGGGACGAGCGTGTTTCAAATGCGGTGAAGTTGGGCATTTCAAGGTTGATCGTCCTAACAAGAGAGTAGGTAAGAAAAAGAACAACAACAAGACTGAAAGACGAGAAGGCAAGGAAGAGGCGAGTTACGCTTCAGAGGATGTGAGCGATAAGGAATGTTATGTCATCACGGATGACGAGGATACCTCCGGGAAGTGGATTCTTGATTCTGGTTGCTCTTACCATATGTGTCCAAACAGGAAGTGGTTTACTACCTACAGGAGCATTGATGATGGAACCGTATTGATGGGGAACAACCATGCTTGTAAAACGGTGGGGCTAGGTAATATCAAAATCAAGATGCATGATGGAGTGGTTCGAACCCTGACGGATGTACGACACGTTCCCGGCTTGCGGAAGAATCTCATCTCAGTCGGAGCTTTGGACTCCGGGGGTTGC